CTGGCCCCCTCCCGCAAGGTGAGGCCATGGCCAGCAGTGGTGCAGGCAGAGCTGGTCCCCGCAGGGATGTGAGGAGATGCCACTGCCTCCCACCACGGCCCTGCATTGCCCTGCTCACGGTCGGGCTCAGCATGCGCCTGGCAAGAGGGAGCCCCAGAGGAACCACGTCTCACCTGTCACCGAGGAGATCGGGGTGGGCCGCAAGGATCTCTGCGATTTTGGGGTCACAGTCCAAACTCTCCCGGCACATTCGGTAAAGCTCTCCCTGGAAGACACCCAGATCCACCTCAGCTGTGGCTCTGCCTGCCCTGCCCGATCCCTGCCCCACTGCTGCCCCCTTGGCTGCCTGCCGCTGCTACCACCGGCCCTGATGGAGCACGGTGTACCAGCAGCCGCTCCAGTTGACCATAAAGAGAGACCGGAATCCAGGCAGTGGCCTCTAGCGCATCCCGGCCAGGGGAAGGTATGAAGGTATGTGGTTCAGCCATCCAAGGGCGCTGGCTTCTGCACCAAGTGATGCGCCGTGCACCACCTTCTGCTGGCCTCTGAGGCTCATCGCCACAGCACAGCAACACTTCAAACTGAGAAATTGCCATTCCGGTCAGGCGTCCCAGAGCAGCAGCAGCTGAGGAAATGCCGCTCAGCCCCAGGACGGAGCATGCTCCGAGCAGCCAAAGCAGCAGCGAAACCAATACTGAAACTCAAGTCTCCACAGAGCATGTGCAAAGTGGGACATCTCAGAATTTCTTCCCTCTTGGTCAGATTTGAGTTTGCTGCTGCTCACAGGATTGGTGAAAAGAACCTCCCGATAAAACCTTTGCTTCTCAAAGGAAAGGCCGCCCCGCTCACTGGCCGACAAGGGCAGCACAGCGCCCTTCTGAGCGCCGTCCCCGCAACGGGCTGAAGTGCTGAGCTGGATTTTTCTCTGGAAGTTTTACTGGACGCAGACATTCAGCTTGTTAAAGTTTAGCCTGAGCAGATGAAATCTGACAAGAGGCAGTCGAAAACAACCTCTTGCAATGGGAATTGCTGGCAGCTGCAGCCTGACATTACAATCTGCTCTCGTGTGCTTGCAACTCCTCCTCTGCTATTTACAGGCACCGCAGCTGCGCGTTGCCAGGTACTGTATTTAGCAGGGATGCGCCGTTGTGTCCACGATGGCTGGATTTGCAGCATTGGCATTTCTTTTAGCTAGGAGAGGGCAGCGGGGTGAGGGAGCGGGGTGTTCGCCGCAGGCTGTGTGGTACGTGGGGAACCCAGGGCTCTGCTGGATATGGCAGCAGTTTAACTTGCGTGTCCACCCACCTCCAAATTCTCCCTTTCCCTCCCCATCCCACCGAACTGCTGGGATGTTGAACAGACCCGGGGGGGAGGGGGCTGGCAGCAAGCAGGCAGACAGAGGCTGCTGCCTATCTTGCGGGGAATCATTCTATAAACTGGGTGTTTGAAGAAAGGACTGATTTGGAGATGAACCTCAACGGGCTCAGGCAGTGCCCCGAGCTGCAGACTGATGAAGGTTGCAGGAGGTCGCCATCCAGACTTGTCCTGTTCTGCATCTTTCCTGGCACCTGCTCATGGCTGCTGCTGGAGATCAGCGCTGGGGGTGCTCTGGAGATCGCCCTTGCAGCCTGGCGACCCCAAGTCTCTGCCAGTTTCCCTGTGGCTGTGCCTGCTGCTCACTTCTGAGCTGGGTCTCCTTCTCCTGCTGCTGGCTTCCAGGAGGGGCTCTGCCCAGGCACTTGTTGCAGGGAGGCAGGTGATGGTCTTTGCCGAGGCTGCTGGCCACAACACCCGCTGTCCATCCCAGGGGGCTGACAGGCTGCTGGACACAGCCCCAGGCGACCTGCCCCAGGCTGGCCTGCTCTTACCAGGGGCTGGACTTCAGAGGTCCCCTCCAACCTGCATCACCCTGCGCTGCGAGCTCAGCCGTGGGGTCAGCAGCAGACAAGCACGTAACTCGTTAGCACACGCACAGCACAGGCCATGCAAAGCCGGAGCTCCGGCCTGAGTGGAGCGGGTCATCCCGTCAGGCTGTGGCTCTCACCTTGTC